CTATGTGCACCGTCAAATTGAAATTTCAAAACATAGTCGCGAGATGGTCTACTCATGATTCCTTGATATTCTTGAATTCGTCTGCAAAATACGCATTTGACAGTGGAACTTTCGGCAGTGGACTGATTCTTGGAGACAGTAGATATTTTCTAAACAATAATTTGGTTACTCCCTTTGTTAATACCAGAACTCCAGCAGAACGCCTTTTCAATGAGTCACACATTAGAACAAGAAACGTCATTGAACGCTGCTTTGGTGTATGGAAACGACGATTTCCAGTTTTGAGTATTGGGATGAGGTGCCAAATTCCTTTGGTACAGGATACAATAGTTGCAACAGCTGTTATACATAATATTACAATTGATATGAAAGAAGATAAACCACCAGAAGACCCAGAAGTGAATGTTTATCTGGATAGAAACTTTAGACCCACTTATTGCAGACTATGGAGATGTCAGAAACTTACTGTTAGAATACTTTGAATCTTTAATAACAATGTAAAACAACGCTAGACAATAGTTTTATATAGTTTAATGTACACTACCGGCAAAAAATTATAAACAATTTATCTTTAAAAGTTTTGGCCATTTATTTATTTTTTATTAGTTTTAATTTATTTTTCTTTTACGAAGATATAGTAATTGATACAACATATACCTATTTTCCGCCCATTACTACTCATTAATTTTAATATTTTTTAATTATCTCGGTAATTAAGGAACTGGATGATCTTGAAAATTTTTCATTTGAATATGGTGCAGCCCGCGAAGAAACGATAGCACCTCATCATTTCGATTAGTTTTAACTATTTTTGTTTGTTTAATGCTCATTATATGAAATGGTTGACACGAACTCGTAAAGAAATTTCTATACGAAAAATAAATAAAATTCTGAAACAGTTCTGCAAGAAATACTTCAAATAGCAGCATGAAAATTCATTGCTTTTTCGATTTTCTCTCGAAATTTCGTAAAAAAATCGAAGTGTGCATAGTTTATTTAATTTTAGAAAATTCGTCAAAAAAACGGATGAGGATTTGAGTGGTGCACTGTGTTATTTATTAAACTATATCTCATTAACTAACAAAAACCATGTAAATCCAAATTTTAAACTTTAAATTAAATTATGAAAATTCTACGACTTTTTCTTCTCAACTTTAAGCATGTTAATCAGAATTCCTAGAAATTTTTAGTATCCAGTTTTATAGCTTATTAAATTTTAGTAATAAAGTTGCTAAAAATTCCGTTGATTTTTGGTAATTTGTTTTCATGACGGTATCGCGCATTTTATTAAATACGACGTAATCTTTTATATGCTAAAATTATCAATAATGAGTTGTGCTTTAATAATAACACCAGTAAACAGATTTAAAAAAATGTAAAATTTTATCTTGAATCGGATTATGAAACAAAATTTCAAGAAAGTAGAACAATTCTTGAGATATAGCCAAATTGGTTTTGAAAAAAATTCGGTGTCCTAAATTGCAAATATCTTCGGAAGCAGTTAGCCTAAAGATTTCCTTTTATATTAGTGGATCTTATTAAATTTATTAACATCTATGCCAACAACATTTTCCAACTGGATTACTTTCGGTACCACAATCAATATGAAGAAATGTGTTCACTTCCGGTTTCTTTCTGGTACTTGAAAGTATAATCTTTTGTAAATATAATAAGACCCTGCTTATCTTAGTTTAATAACAAACGTAGAAGCTATGAGCACTTAAGTAGAAGGTTTTATAATTAAGTTTAAGGTTTTCATACAAATTTACGATCTAAAATTTTAGTCAAAGCTTGAACAATTAATGAAACCATAAATTTGTATGGAAAGTATTTGTGTGTCTTTCTACTTAAGTGTCCGTAACTCCTCCATTAATTATTAAATGTAGATATAATGGGTCTTATTGTATTTTCAAAATAGCATACTTTGAAGTACATGAAAAAAGCGGAAGTGAACACTTTGCACTTTGTTTCAGATCTCAAAAGACCGAAATTTTGATATATCTCTTAAACTTTCATAAAATTTCACTTCATATTCGGATTCAGTCAGAAAATTTCACATGGGAAATGATGATGATTAATAAATAAAATAAATGATCAAAAGACAAGTAGTCAAACCTGGGGAAAATATTAGGGTGTTATCTTTTGTTGCGGGCTGTAACAAAAAATTAGCAACATACCGTGGTAAAGGTAGTGTCTAATTTGGTTTGGTAATAAAAAATGCTGATGCTTTAACATTTAAGATTACAGGGAACATATCAATAAGAATACATACTTTCATATTCTCCTGACTCGACTTCAGCATTCGCTGGTTGTGGTAAGGTAAGTAATAGATATGAAAATGTGGAATTAAACAAGTAAGAAAGTCTAAGTTCGGGCGGAGCCGAACATTAAATACCCGGCGCAATTATTAAATATATGTTTTCCACCTTTCCGAAAGCTGCCGCTGCACGATAAGCCGGGGTGTATAAATTTTAAGTAAATTAGCGTCCTTAAATTTCGAAATATTGCAGTTTCAAGCATTTCTGAAATATACCGTTATATGAAAAGCGGTCGTAATTTTAGTCCGATTTCAATAATTTTCAACGCTTTGCTTTTATGTGGCAAGCACAATAACCATACCGAGTTTGGTTCAAATTGCTAGAACGGTTAGCGAGATACATATATGTGATCATAAGTGGGCGGTGCCACGCCCATTTTCCAAAATTGTATCATAAGCGTATTTCTTGGTATAAAATTGTTGCAACCATCAATTTTGAATAAATTAGCTTTAATATTTGCTGATTTATCGAGGATTTCGTATTTTTCTAAATTACCGTTATATGGGATGTGGGCGTGGTTATTGTCCGATTTTAAAAAATTTCGGCCATTTTGTATGTTGTAGCAGGACCAATAACTGGGCCAAGCTTGGAAGAAATTGGTGCAGCGGTTACCAAGATATACACATGTAACCATAAGTAGGCGTGGCTACGCCCATTTGCCAAAATTTTTTAATATTCTTATTTTTCGTCTAAAACTCATTGTAAATATCAATTTTGAGTGAATTATCTTCAGTAGTTACTAAAATATCGCACATTTCGTATTTCTGAAAATTACCGTTATATGGGAGGTAGGCGTGGTTATTGTCCGATTTCGCCCATTTTCAATACCGTCCGTCCTATGCACAAAAGAAGTCTACGTACCAAGTTTCGTTAAGATACCTCAATTTTTACTCGAGTTATCGTGTGCACAGACGGACGGACGGACGGACGGACGGACAGACAGTCACCGCATAATCGATTTCTCTTTTCATTCTGATCATTTATGTATACATTTGTCTATATCTATCTCGATTCGTTTTGCCTGTTACAAACAACCGTTATGTGAACAAAGTTATAATACCCTTGTGCACAAGTGCGCTCGGGTATAAAAATGCAACTTATGTGTATAATTTTGTACCATCAGACAGAAAGGTGTCGTCAACGACATATGTAACCAAATCCTCCGCTTGTTTTATATGTGGAGCTGAAACACTAATTCCATTAGTAACAATTCATTGAACAAAATGAGAGATAATTACCTTCAACGCCATCGGAGTCATGCCTGTTATGCAAACCATCTACGTTGGAAGACATAGCTAGTATTTGATTTTCCACATCTGAATATGGAATTTGGGAATAAGCCCCTCCACCAGTTCTATAAAGTTCCTGCCGATTTATGGCTACTTTGTTTTTCAATGTCTTTTTCAAGCTTTCATAATTTTAGAGTAGATGTCGAGCGTGCAGTTCCACCGGAGGATGAATTGAAGAGCTTTGCAACTTTTTCCCATGACGCTTCTTTCTCCTTATTGGTTACAGTGTCTGTCTTTTTGTTCTCCAATATATGCTTGTATTTTGCAGCAATTTCTGTTAATATTCGCACTTCTGTTTGAGTAAAATTGGCAGATCTTTGCCTTTTTCTCGCGACATTTTCAACAATTTCAATATTTTCAACAATTTCCATTTCTTCCATTTTACAATTGGCAGACTTGACAAAAAATAAGATTATACATACTTTTTTGACAATCACATTGAGCAATTAACCTGTTGTCCTTTTCTTTCACAAGGTGTTTCCAATATATTTTGTTCGTACTCATTTTTTGATAACCATTCATGTTGCCACACTTCTGCAAATACAGAAGAATAGTTATCTACCACTTATCCCAAGAATGAAAAACTCAAAGTTTTTATTCAGTAGAATAAACGAGGAAATAAATTTATTCGTTGAATTGCTATCTGGAGAACAGGGACCGAACATAACAGTTATTGATGAAAACTGTCATGGAAAACTTCGCTATGAAGGAAATGTTCTACAACTAAGTGAAACATACCAATCGAATTCGTTTTGCACCGAGACTCAAATTTGAAAATAAATTTTTATTTGCAATTTTTATGCAAAATTTAAAAAAATAACAATTATATTTAATTTTTATATTAGAAATCCAAAATAACAATTATTTTTGATTTTTATATTATATGGCTTAGATAACAGTTATTGAAGAGTTTTATTTATAAAAGTCATCAATAAAAATCAGTCAGTGACTTTTACTTTTAAAAGTCATTAATATAAATCAGTGACCGACTTTTATTTTTTAAATCAATCGTATAAAAGTCATTAACATTTTTCGCAGTTAAGAAGGTGTTGGAAAACAAAAGTTTACTACGACTTATTCAAATGACTTTTATAAGTATGATTGAAAAAATAAAGATCAGTGACTGATTTTTATTTATGACTTTTATAAATAAAAGTCTTCGATAACTGTTATTTAAGACATATAATTTAAAAATCAAAAATAACTGTTATTTGCAGATTATTTAAATAAAAATCAAAAATAACTCTTATTTTCGATTTATAAAATAAAAGTCAGAAATAACGGTTATTTAAAGAGTAATTAAATAAAAATCAAAAAATAATTGTTAAAGAGTGATTTTTTTAATAAAAGTTGTAACTGTTACGGTCCCTGCTGGAGAATGTATCTGACAATTGAAAAACCGGCCCTTAATAATAATAATAAAACAAAAGTTAAACATCTTCGGCTAAGGATAAGGTCTATTTGAAATTTAAATACTAAATTAGTTGTAGTTGGTGTTGGTAGGGTGGAGATCAGACTAGTTATAGTTGATGCTTTCCATTTCCAGACAAGCGGTCAGGTACGAGCATGATTTTTAATTTCGACCAAACTCAAATACATTGTTTGTTGGTCCAAATAATGACAGTTGGAATTTTTTTTTTAAATGCCCATAACTTTGTCAAAATTTAATAGATTCCAACAATGTTTTTACTCAAATTTCAGTAATTCTTGTCACTTCAAGATAGAATGATACAATTATTGATTTTTATTATTTAAAATTTTTTATTTAACAATAAACAAAAAGTGCAAATTTTTTTTTAAATTTAATTTCTCAAAAAGTGTATTTTTTTTCTCTCAAACTTTTTTTACCGGAAAAGAGACACTTTGAACTACAATCAAGCCAAATCTCTAATAGCGAAGATTTTTTTTTCTGAGTTATGATTTTTTATAGAAAATATAACTTTTTGTGGTACATACTACAATATTCTTATATTGTTTAACTAAATGGAACATATGTATGTAATATATCAGCAAAAAGTACAGCCGTGATCATTTTTTGTGTATCAAATAGATATTAGAACACACTTTCCACCATACAGTTTCGATTATAAAAAGCTGGAAAATGTGACTTTGTATTTCGAAACTGTATGGTGGAAAGTGTGTTCTAATATCTATTTGATACACAAAAAATGATCACGGCTGTACTTTTTGCTGATATATTACATACATATGTTCCATTTAGTTAAACAATATAAGAATATTGTAGTATGTACCACAAAAAGTTATATTTTCTATAAAAAATCATAACTCAGAAAAAAAAAATCTTCGCTATTAGAGATTTGGCTTGAAGAAAAAATACGTGTCTCATTATTTGGACCAACAAACAATGTATTTGAGTTTGGTCGAAATTAAATATCATGCTCGTACCTGACCGGTTGTCTGGAAATGGAAAGCATCAGTTATAAACTTAATGTTAAATTTAGTCAGTATGTGAATAAATATGGAATTTATAATGGATTGCTAATTGAAATCTACTTGGTCTGAAATCTTTTGATGATTGTTTAGGTAGGTACGAATGGGTTTCTAATAAACATCT